AAAAAAAAAAAAAAAAAAAAAAACAATCTGTGGAATCTCTGTATCGATGGCTTGGGTCATGATTCATGAACCCTTTGACCCGTGTTGAAGGCAGACTGTCCCCAAGCCGGACATAGCAGCAAGTAGCAACCCTGCAGTAGAGGCAACCCAACTGCTTTTCACAAAAGACGACTACAAGGAAGGACAGGGCAAGCAGAAGAGCAGCTCAGCAACCCTGCATTGAAGAGCAAGGCAACACCAACAAGGAGACCAGACTACAAGGCACGGAAGCATGTAAAGGACGCGGAAGGCCAACAGCGCAAGTGGATGAGAAGCTCAGCAACCGTGCGGTGAAGCACAAGGCACCAACAACAAGGCAACCGAACTACAAGCTTAGGCATGCAAGCAAAGGACACTGATGGCCGGCATAGCAAGCGGACGACCAGCTCATCAACCGCTCAGTGAAGCGCAAGGAAGTATGTATCTCCAGCGACCGCGGTCGCTGTGGGCATGGCCGCGGCCCGCGGTCGGGGCCGCGGGGCTGCGGTCATGACTGCAGCGGCCGCGGCCGAAATCGGCCCGCTGCGGCCAAGGGGAGGGGGGTCCTGCCAATCGGGGTCGGGATTCCGACGCCGCGACCAGGGCCCCACCCCCCCCATTGAAAAAAAAGAAATAAATTATGAAATGGGGGGGTCCATTTTAAGGGGGGGGGGGGCGAATAATGGCCCCTTTTTTTATTTTTATTTACTTTTCTTTTTTCCGTTTGATTGAACGATTGCGCAGTTTTTTATTGCACTTTTTTTTTTTTTTTTTGGATTGATTGATTGATTGACTGGCCGCACACCGAGTTTGACCCCCCGGTCATGACCGCGGGGGATTCATAGGCAAGGCAACCAGACCACAAGGCATGCGAACAAAAGACACGCAAAGCGCTGTGACGCCCAAAACCTCACGCCCAGCGCGACTTCCTGTTTCAGAGTGGCAGAGGGCCCGAAAGTGCGTAGTAGGGGTGTGCCAAGGATTTTAGGAAAGTGGGGATGGAGTCCCAGGCCGGAACTGAGATCTACGGTTCCAAGTTTCAAGGACAGGGATGCAAGTGGTCCAATGTAGGACCAGAACTTCGGTTTTGCCCTTGAGAGCCGAGCGGCTAGTTTCGCCGGCGTCATCGCCTGGGGCTGAGATCAAGAAGGGAGAGGAGTACAGTTACACCTGCGCTTGGTAAGAAGGAGCAAGAAGAGATTAGAGTTACGAATAGAACTTAGGCGCAACGGGAGCAGAGCGCAGGACAGAACGCAGCAACACGCGCGGTAGCGAGGAGCACCGTGTAGTTACAGCAGAAAAACTCCGCGACGAATTATGATGCCCCCCAATTCCTAAATCAATTAAAGTCCCCATTCCCGTAATCCCTTGTATTTCAAAATTTGAAAGAAAAGATTTCTCCTGTGCAATGATCGCGCCAACGTTCCCCTACCTACTTTTAGTAGAACAAGAAAGAAGCTATCACAACAGTTATCCCCACGCTCACTAAGGCACAACCAATTACTAACCAACATGGGAACAAACATTTGAAAAAAAAGACGGGGGCATTCATGCAATGGGGCGGGCCCCTCCCGATCAACCCCCAAAATACCGTCCCGCAGAAAGTCACGCGTTTAGAGAAAGCAGTTCATCACATATGTGGCACCCAGGGGGTTCCAATCGTGTGCAAGATCCCGCTTGCACACACAACTCTCGATGATCCCGCCGAAAAGAGACAGAAGCAATAACAAGTCGAACTTACACATGTCGTCAATTACAGTGCGATAGGAGTGTGGATGCCATCCATATAGCACGTGTAAGTTCCGCCCCGGATCTATGGATTACCAGGGAAGCGCAACCTTATGACACGAGGAGGATACGGAGGGTGGGCTTACGGAAAAGAGGACACGAAGCGTTGAACCTCCCGATCTCCAGTGGGAAGCCGAGTGTAGTGAATGGTGTGATGATTGCGGGGGCGTAGAAGCAAGGCCAAGTAGTCAGAATAGAGGGGACAAAGGGTGCGGGGGATGGCGCGAAAGTCTTCGTAATCCTGACACGAGGGGATAGTTCCGGTGATCATACAATAGACTTCTATATTATTATAGTCACGCCACACCATGCTAAAGAGAAGGATATGAAGATGGAAGAAAGTTATGAGAGAGTGGGTGGTTAAATGGGGGAACACGGTGGCGATGAGTCGGGTGGAGTAGAGTCGATAGAATAGGGAAGGCGGAAAGGAGTGGCTTCTGAAAGGGAAAGGGGGGCGGTCTTTGAGTTGGTGGAGGGTGAGGTAATCAAGGGGACAGCGGGATAATGACCGAGGATGAAGCCCGAGCGCCCGCATCTCCACGTAGGCGAATGTCGGGGCATGGCGGAGTGGATTGTGGCGACGAAAGGCTTCGGGGCTCGTTCGACACTCCTCGGGCGCCTAAAATCCCCGAGGAAGTGTTCGTTCCACTTATCCTCGGGGGTGCAGTCGAAAAAAAAAAAAGTGAAAACACGCCGAAGGAAATTCCTCGGGCTCCGAGGATTCCCCAGCTATTTCTCCCGTTTGCCCAAGGGACCTCACTTGGGCAAAAGGAATCCGCTTTTCACGGAGAGGAGCGGGCACACGCGTAGAGAGACGTTACAACCGAGAATCTGGATCGTGGCGGCACCCTATTGGCTGAAGGCCTTAAGCACTTTTTTTTTTTTTTTCCTTTTTTYTTTTCTGACATTGCTCCAAGGAAACGTCCTCGGGCGACGTCCCCGAGGACAGGTGGAACGAAGGGCCCAAATTTCCTTTTGACTAAAAGGAAATTTTCCTCGGGCTCCGAGGACACCCCAAGGAGTGTCGAACGAGCCCCTTCTTCTTCTTTGTTTGCTGCCAGATTCCTCTGCGGTGGCGACGCCATCTCGCCCAGGATCCTCCTGTGGTGACTCCGGATCCCGTGTGGGATCGCCTTGTGGCAACGACATCAACAAACTGGCCGATTGGTTCACGGGCCGCTTGCCCTCCGCTCTCTCCCGCCTTTTTTGCGAGGTTGCCTCGTCCTCCTCCTCGCCCTACTCACTTGAGCTGCTTTGCTCTCCCAACTCACTCTTGCTGTGCTCGCTGTAGTTGAGGTCACTAAACTCTGCCTCCGAACTCTTCTCCTCTTCGTCTTCTTCTTCTTCGTCTAAATTCCCATGCATTCCGATTGGATGCCAGCGGTCGAGATCAGTTATATCATCTACAACCAGGTAATCACCTGTTGAGGGTTAATAGCGATTGTCAGTGTCAATCTTAGAGCAAGGCGACCACAGTAGATGAGGTGTGAGAGTTCGTGCCAGAGCGGCTATGAATCCCCCTCGGGCGCGGCCAAGCGCGGCCGATTCCGCGGATGCGGCCAGTCCGCCGACCCCACGGACGCGTCCGCGCGGCTTTCACGCCACGTGGCGGCCAGAGGGGAGAAGGGTTGGGGATTCGGGAAGCGCCATGGGGCGGCGCATCCCCGGCCCCACCCCCTCAAACAAAAAAAAATGAAAAAAACTATTTTTTTGTGGGGGGGGTTGGGTGGG